GTTTTATCCGGGAATGGCCATGCTTCTTCTCCCTTAAGACTGTTTAGGGAGTAAAAGTTTGAGTTGCTTGGAAACTGCATAAAATTAGCCCATGTCTCTTCTATTGATGCCTGTGATTCAATTATCCAGTTTTCAGCCGAGGCTGCAGAATCGATCGCCTTTGTGTCTGCCTTCCATATCTTAGGACGTGCCAGCGCAACTATTTGATCGATAATCTCAAACATTAACTTTAACGAAACGACTACATAATCACTTCTCCCTGAGGGCGGGAGGAAATTAATTTGACTGACATCACGGTTTGTGAAGATTGGACCCAAGAGAGAATAGGAGCTTTGCAGTTCACATATGGTGGAATCTAATGTGCTTGAATGAGGCCAGGCCGATTGTGGCTTCTAACAATTTGTAATCAGGCGACGTTGTTGATGGTCATACTCCTAGGTTTTCCCTATTTAAAGAGGGTACATTAAGGTCACCTATCATAAAGTTTTTACGTCCGTTTGATAAGAATATGAGTTTGCTTAGGAGGAAGATATCCACTACATATTCTGGACTTTTGTATACTACGACTAATTCAATGTCTTGCCTCTTACATATCACTCACTTCTGACGTTGATCGAATTTCTAAGATGGCAACGACAACAGGGTTTTCTGTGTCTACAACTGTTTGGAACTCCACCATCCTCACTGACATATAATCCGGATCCAGTCAGTTTTCATGCGTTTTTCAGAGTTGGGTTTCTTTCCTCACCAGAAGGAAAGGTAGCTCTTGAGAGTCGGCATTTTTGTATACTTTCGTAACCCAATTTTTTTCTATTCTATGAAGCTTATGGATGTGAACTGCTGCAGCTCTTTCTGGACGTTAATTGCTTATTAAGGACTTAAGAAGGCTTAGGTCATGTTCAAATCTGGCCTTTAACAGGATTCTTCAAATTTACAAAAGGTAATTTACCTATCAGTGAGGACCCTGCTAAGAAGCTGTGAAGGTTTAGCGCTGAAATGTTATGTCTGCAGTCTGATTTGAAGTCAGATGCTAGGGTTTCACTCTGTCTCCTTATTTTCTTTATAAGAGCACAACTATAAGCCAATCATCAACCTTATTACATCTCCCGATCACATCATCTACATCGCTCATGCTTCCAAAGTCCGCTTCTCATTGTTATGCGAATCCGGATATGAAACCATCGACTCTTATATCTAAGAGCCCCCTACAATTTGTTTGTCCTCAACGCAAAATTTATTTGTTCTTGAAACCACACCTGCAACTGTGTGTTTGTTATCCGCTACGCTATTGAAGTCCACCTTAATGATTTCATTCAAATCCGTAACTGAACTAAAGAGCATCATCTTTGTAAATTGACACTCAAAAATAGCATCAACAACTCGGCAAATTAAGCTTAAGCATTCGTCCACAACAAAGTTGGCATACATTTGTAGACTTGGTCTCATTTCCGCACCCGCTGGATTTTCTGAAGTCAAAAGTCTCGTATACCGTATGTCTTAAATCGATAGAGAATCAAATGAAGTAATCATCTACGCGAAAACGATCTCTTGGCCATATATATCAAAGAGGAAAGCCTTAGAGAACGGCCTTAGTACCTAAATAAACAACCTAAATGTGATTAAATAAAATTTATTTTATTTGTTTGGTAAGAGGTGTCTATTCACCGCATGAATTTTTAGCGGTAACTAAACTATTTTCAATAATTTCTCATCAGGTTCTACAATTATAAATCGAAATTATTAATTGTAGAACCTGATGAGAAATTACTGAAAAAAAATTTTCTTCGTTCATATAGTTATGTTTTAATATAACGGGAATTTTTCAGCGAGTAAATTAACTCCAAATATAAATAGTTCTGTAGGTCTTCGACAGATGAACCTGAAGTTTAAACTTGTCTCACATGGTCTTAATATAGATTTGTTAAATAATATATAACTATATAACCAATTATTATTACCAATGCTCAGTATTTTTATTTTTTCCGGTAAGTGTGTACTCCTGAGGTGAATGACTTTGGATTTGCTTGATTTTATTTATGTAGCGCTAAATAAATTCCAAAATCAATAGCTCTGTAAGTCTTCTATATTTGATGCTGATCACACTAGATTTAATGGAGTCACCTAGGTGAAAGCGCTCGGTCACACCTTCGCACCAGATCACGAAAGGGAACACCGTGCACAATTTCTCCTGGAACCAATAATCAGTTTAGACCAGTCACTTCTCGATATACAGATAACCTATCAAATATGTCTTCGTACCTCCACGCCTCTGACTTTTCATTTCACTGGGTGGGCACGTTTCGATTGTGGAAGGTGTTACTGGTTAGTGTTGTCAAAATAAAAATACTTGAGGCAACTTCATTGAAAATTCGACGTGATCTGGTACACCAACTCGCAAATTGTAAGTCTGTTCCTTTTTTTGAACATTGTATATCACTTCTTTAACTTTTATATAATGTGATATTTTTTCGTACTTTTGGATATTGAAGTCCAAAAAACTATAGCTTATCTGAAACGAGGAAGATCAACTGGTCCAGATGGATTGGCTCCAGATGTCATAAATATGGTGGTCCAGTCGTAGCAACCAGGTGAACTAGTACCATCTGAATGGTCGCAATCACTGGTTGTCCCAATATACATGTAGGGGTAAAAATAATCCTGTGATAGCCACAGAGGGATAGGTTTGACTAATATAGCATCTTAAGGGAGATTGATTATTAGTACTGATCTTAAGTGCTGGTAAAATTGTGAGGGCTGTTGTCGTTTCCCGGTTGCCTACACCAAGAAGAGGTTCCCATATGGGTACCTGAAATAGAAATTGAATTAAAGGTGGTCTTAGTGACCTGAGAACGTGACCGCAGTGCCAAAGGATAAGCTGCTTCAGTTCGGTCACACACGATCTTTTTGTGAGTGGTTTTTGTGTTAGCTCCATATTTGTCGGGACCTTACCACCGGAGAGCGTAATCCGTGGGATAAGGCGAGATGTGCATTTTTAGGTTCTACCTTTTCTAACCACACCCCTCCTTGTAGGAGAGCAGGATCGCTGTCATTTTGGTTGACTGAAGGAAACACCTCATTGCCGTCACACGTCTGTACAGTCAGAAGTACGACTTCACCCTCAGACCTTGGGTTTACTGCTTTTAGTCTTACCGCTCTACAACCTACTTGTCTGGCATGGTAGGAGCTTGAGGAACGATTGTTCTTATCAGTATATTTAGATTGGTTCATTACGATAGGCAAGCCCGGCCACCACGCCAAGGTAGCAGAAACGGTCAGGTGGCCATTAAATGTGTAAGATACTCGTAAGTTACTAGTACCTGACGACAGATGTATTAGAAATATTGCTCTCATCTGCTGAGATTACCGGGTAAGTAATAGTGAGGTGAGACTTAAAGTATTGGAGAATTGTGGTAAATCAGTAGATGAGGTTGTGAATCTTCATCGACTGAGATGGTTGGGCCACGTACTATATATGCCTGAAAGCCAATTACCATGAAGTGCAATGCTAACCGGTGTTCAGTGTGGTTAGAAGAAAGTTAGGGGTGGTCAAACCAAAACGTGGCATCAGTGCTTGAAGTCACTTACTTCTAGTCTGTGACATGTTGGTAGATGCAGACTACTTGGTTGTGGTCCGCGTGATTATCGTAACCAATGGTTGGAGACTCTTGGCGACATGGCTCAGAATCGATCACAGTGGCGTCGGTGTATACACTCTCTGTCTTCTATTAGACTAAGAGATTAAAATAGCTTCATATCTTTCTTTCTACGATCTAATTCTTTCTTCCTTTACTATATCCTTATTGCAATCTATCTTTTATATATTACCACCTCTGAATTAACTACTTTTATAAATCCGTTGTTCATCATGTTGCGTTAATGAGGTATGGCAACTTGGACCAATGCATATATATGCCTGGTCCTACGTTGTAGCTGACCGACCGGCTGGTAGAGGGTGTTACTGATTAAAGTGTTATCAAACTAAAAATACATGTGGAATTTTCAGGTATAAAATAACATAGTTACAGGACTTCGTCAATTCTCAGTTTAGTAAGCATCCTCGTCAAAAGTTGTGCACGTATTCGTTGCCAGACACAGAACTACGCAATGGGAGTTGATTTCATTACGTGTGAACCGTTATTACGAAAGACAGAAAAGAATTCACTTTTCTATCCGTAGTAACGTAAGAAAAAAATATTGAGGACACACCCTCATATATCAAAAGCTTTTTATGATTAAGATGTATTTTTTGTTATGAAGTAGAGCACTGTAATGGCAATTAAATTCTCGAAATAAGCAATTCTATAATTTTGGACACTGAATTTTACCACAGTCATTCTGTTGGATACACCCTCGCTGGAGACACTCGTACCCGTATCAACGCTAACTCACGATCAGTGATCCATACTACACATCTCTTATCTTTGTTTCTAGGGCATTCAGTGACAACAGCATAGTCAAGCAGTGAACATCTGTGATAACTTTTGACAAAATATATATCTCAATGGCTGAAAATTCGTTCACAAAGCTCTGATAGACACTCCATCTTTCTAGCAGTTACTTTTAAGCAGGACTTTGTCTCGCAGTACTGAAATTTAATTTGTTGGTGAATATAATTCAAGTCATCATGTTCGATTGGGCGAAATCACCATATCATTTACAGAAGCGCTTAATTTGTATAGTGCGCCTTCTTTGGTGTACATGCATCGTAGTGAGTATGAGTTTGGAAGTTTACCTCTGGTCTTCTTGTTAAATTGTTCATTTCATCATCGGTAACCTCAATTTTTACGACATTGACTGGCATCAGCAACTTCAGGTAATATTCAAAAGTTCGCCAGAATTTCCCAACGAGCTTATGACCTTTCACTGATGAATTAATTTCTTTGTACAAAATCGGCATGACAATAAGACAATGATGCCTTCGCATTGTAGCCTCCAACTCTGAATGTATGTAATCACATTCATTTAGAAGAGCGAAAAAATTGGTCATAAATTAGACTAAATGATGATAACTAATGTATGAATTAGTGAGACTATAATTTATGGACGACCTTTGAACAAATTTTAAGTGACCTTGAGAATACCAGTCAATCAGCAAACAGTCAGTGTAGAGTAGAAATATGTTATACAAAACCAAGGAAATAAAGTGGATACACTTATTCGTGGTTCAGAAACTCGTCGAGGTTAGAAAGAGGTTCTAAAATCATAATCTATGCAGTAGAGGAAATCATCCGTACGGCTACAGAATAGTCGAACTCAAGGGCCATGATAAAGTCTCAAAAGCTTTCAGCTTCAACCACATGGTTTCTATATTGTTTATATGCACTTCGGTTGTTGAGTACACAAAATGCTACTTGTCGATAACGGCACTATGCACATAACCAAGCTTATGTAGTAGTTTGTACACTCTCCGAACATCCGTATATACTGCAGTACTTGGCTGCAGCCAGTGTTACTGGTGCTTTTATTATCCAGTTGTATGTTCTTTAAGTTCGCCTTGATTTCCCCACTCTTGTTTGTTTGGAAACCTACTACTTGATTCTCATATAAGCGGCGCACTATATTTTCAGGACTTTAGCTAATCTGATCGTCCTAGATACTCTGAACTCCCTTAATTTAATGATTGAAGATAGTATATTTCTTACAGATTATTTGTTTACACATTATTTTCACGACCACGTTGTTGATTCATCTTATGAGGCCGGTATATTGTGGTTATACTGTGTAGATTTTTGTATTAGGCATTATCAGCATACTTGGTATTTTGACTTAAAATAGTCATAATGGTCCAGTTTACGACGTAATCGTTTAGAGCTGGTTAATATGGTCCAGTTACTCAGTACGCAGGTATATGTTCGTGGACTACACTTTAGGTAATATTTCGATGGACGGCTACTTTATCACCCCAACTGAATTATTCTGACATCTAACTCAATGTTTGAAAATTGACTGCTTAAATAAATGTTCTACGTTGTGGATAATTTAATAAAAGCTTCGCTGAAAACATAGAGTTTCTTCAAACGTTTCTTTTAATGAAGTAGTCTCAATATTCTAAACACTTATTTCAATTAAAAACGTAGTGGCTCTTTTGACCCGACTCTGTTTTGTATGAATGAGTGTGCCGTGAACATAAATTTCCCGTTTAATTCCGTATACTATAACTGGGCTAACCCTGTTTGTGTGGCGGCGGTAATATGGATTAAGTTGGATTGGTTTATTTCATGCAATCGTTTACTCAGACATTATAATGGGAAGCAGAAAAATCAAAGACAAGAGCTCTAACTCATATTGATAAGGCGTGACTATTTATAGTCAAACAAAAATAAGCTGAAGACATGTAATAAATGGGGGTAAGAGAGACACACTCCTAATTAAAAACAGTCCAGTTTATGGGCAAGTGGTTGACGAAGTCAAGATGTGACTCAGGAAGAATAAATTAACTGGTCTATCTGGAAAATAAAACAACCAATTTGAGTGTAAAATAAAACTACAAACCACAAGTTTTGTTCGTTATAAATCAAGATTATCTTAAGTTTCATTTGTTTAGGAGTTACTCAATGAGTGTGTACTGCTTTCTGCTCATCTACCTAATTGAGCTCATATGTTCTGCTATGCTGCCTATTAAGTTATTCAACAAAATGTTTTTTAAACTGAAATTTTGTTTCCATTTAGGTCTAACTGTTTAAATATGGATACGTCAATGGAAGATTTGTTTTCCGATTTTGATAAATCTACTGTTTTAGTTGAGACAGGTAAATGAATTACAGTGAGCATGCGAGCGAGTCATTGTTAGATTTAAACTGTTCTGATTTTCAAAAGATGTTTTTTACTCATTTCAATAAAATCAATTGATAAAGCAAAATATGGACACTGATTTTAGGACAAGTTTCATACCATAAAAGTGTGTACCTAGCCGAATACATGCGTAGCTTTTTGGCCAATAGTAATGACGTGAATTTTTAAATCATTACATATTTTATGTGATCAAATATAGTATCAAACTATCCAAAGATCACTATTCATTATCAATCTCTCTTTAGATGCTATATATATAATACCCCTTCGTGTATGTTGGGACAACCAGTGATTGTGACCATTCAGATGGGATTACATTCAGTTCCCAGATTTTAGCTAAAATATTAGTCGACATGGTTGCTAAAACTGGACCGCCATATTTAATGACCTCTGGAGCCAATCCATTTGGACCAGTTGCTCTTCCTCGTTTCAGATTAGCTATAGCTTTTTGAACTTCAATTAGAGTCCGGGGATCTACTTCAATATTCCATTCAGGCTGTTTGGGAATGGTGGGTGTTTGTAGAGTAGCCAGTTGGACTGCTCCTTAAAGTTTTCCACCCATCGTCCTAAACGTTCGGGCTGAAAGCAGATAAGAGTGTCATCTTTTTCTGAGATCGCCTCACTCACACTTCTTAATCCCACTTTCTTTTTAATTAGTCCGAAAAACTGTCTGGTGTTACTTACAGTCGCTACCCACCGCTACTCACGATCGTTTCATGGATCTGATGTACATATAAATAAACATACAGTACCAAACTTGAACCGTAAACCCATTTAATGAAGGTTAAGTGTTGAAATCTTGATGCAGCTTTGTCAACAGCTTTTAAATATTTTTATAACATGCGAATATATGTTAAAACTCTACAAAAATAGTATTTGCAATTTGTACACAGTAATCAATACGAATCGTCACATACCTGATTGCTCAGTCACAACAGCCACCTCTTAAAAAAACATTTTCTAATCGTAGTACAAGATTTTCGTTTTTTTAGTTATTATTATTTCTTAGTCTAACTAACTGTCTAATTTTATTAACTATCGCTGTACGGGACAAAGTGTACGTTAGTTGTTGGACGCCCAGTTAGTACTGTATATTTTCATACAAAACTCATGGTACCGCCAATGTGGATGAGATTTTCAGGATGTAGACAGTCCACTCGATCATATCACCCCATATAGTCATTTCTTTAGTTATACAATATCTTTTATTATTTAGTGACTTTTAACTAGTTAAATCATTCACCAGATAGTTGAGTATGAGCCACACTTTAAGTTCAGAGACTACTGTTACCATTCAATTTCCCGAACCGAATCCTTTACCGCTAACCCACTGCTCTATTTTTTTATTGATTAGTTTACGGTAATTTGTTTCTTAGTGAGCTAATACATCAAGTATTCTTTTAACGTTATAACTAAGTAAACAAGTCAGCGAATAATCCTCCTAGCTTTGCCGTTTTTCATGGATTTTTATGGAATGATACAATAATATTCTTAGTATTAATTCTTATCAGATACAAAGAAAAATAATACAGAAAAGCATGACTTAATGGTACTTGCTACTGAAACAATAGGCAATGAAACTATACGTATTGAAGGTGTTCACCAAGCCTCTACTCAAAGTCTATGCTTAACCATTGAATTACATGAAAACTCTTTGTAAGTCTATTTTTATTGTATTTTCAGTTATATATATATTCAAGTCGACAAACTTGTTTCTTATGTATACAGAAATGACCAATTTCTGCTGAACGAATACTTTGATTACAATTAGGTTTGAATTAATTTTATTTTAGTTCACAATTCAGCGCTCCGCCGCGTGAACATTGAAATACAATCACTACTTATATCTCTTCATTTTAATGATAAATTTTATATTTCTAATTGTCGTATTATTTAAAATATTCACCAAGCTACATTTATTTAATCAAACCAACCTACCAACTAAGTCTTCTTCCCAAATGAAATCAAATTATTAGATAGGGTTAGAGGCTAAGTTATTAGTTGATAAAAACGGGACCAGCAGTTTGATGTATTTATATGTGACCACAAAGTCAAACTTAAATACAGTTTAGTTAGCCTTAATTTACACAGCTAGACTTCATTTTTATTCCATCCAGGCAGTAGGTCCCTATCATAATTGATTGATCACTGGGTGGTGATCAATGTCATGTGTGTTAAGTCATTAGTGCAGATCGAATGCTATCGACCATGTTGCAATGTGGCCACCAGTCTAAGTAACTCGACATTGTGTGCACTATGTTGAGATAAGATGGTGGTTGGAGGTAGTCGACAGGAAACCCTGGACCCAGGGCTTGACACAAATGACATTGATGGCCACCGAGTGATCAATCAATTGTGATTACATCTCAGTCCTATAGGATGTCGGTCGCGGCCCGGATAGCTCAGTGGTAACGTCTCTGACTATGAAGCTTGGCGACACGGGATCGGATCCACCAGGGTGCACCAGTTCCCTCAAGATTACAGGTACACCTTACTGACGAGTGCCAAGTAGCACGAAACTCGGGTCCAGGGTTTCCTGTTGACTACTTCCAACCACCATCTAAGTAGGTCCCTATCAACAAACTATGCTAATTTGTATGTTGTTGTGACCGAAATGGTGTTCGTGTTCTACATTTTCACTAAATTTCATCACTAACTTTTAAGCTAAGGAGTATGACATTAATGGCCACACTGGTGAGCGTTTTATTGCTTCAAATAGCCAACAGAAGTTCTTCAGTGTAAATCTTATTGATGATAACCGTTTTTAGATATTCAACTGTTCAACTTTCATCACGAACCGAACTTGTGACGAGCGTTTCACCTTTAAACTACTGAGTCCACATTTAGTGCTTTACATCTTTAATCAACTAACAATCTTGCACAACCATTTTCCAATATCGTCAATTGATAACTACCTCACACCTGACATAATCAAACTTCATTGGTGACGGCTTCTCACTAGAACTTCAAGAATAATCACCCCTCGGAAGTAATCACTAATGAGTACATTATTATTAATATTATCATGACGGGTTTGTGGAGACTGTTGAGTTTTATTTTTTACATCACAAACTGTGATATGTGATAATTATTTCAAATGTTTTGTCATAGTAGTCTAGTAGCATCTAACAACAACCAACTGTCAGTAAGTGTCATGATTCACTGTCTAGTATTTCTTGACCATGATACTTCACTAGACTCCTTTCAGATCAGAAAAATAATTGACAATGGACAGATATATATAACGATAACGCGAACAACCAATATTCAGTTGTAAAAACATTGAAGTTTACACAAGAATCTTCTAACATCTCAATTCGTCCACTGGCTCTAATCGGTTGGAAGTGGACCAATCAGCGCGTTTCGATTTTAGCTTGATCACAGCATGCAAACGTTAGAGCTTTATCCTACTAACAGTGGAATATATATGTTCATCTGGTTTGTATTGATACTTTATGTTGAGATTGGGAATAAAAACTAAAGCTCAATAACCCATCTCTTGTACACATTACTTGCTTCTATAATTTAGAATCCTTTTGTTTTATTGATTTATCAAACAGAATTGATATTATTCATGAAAAATCTGTTAATAATACTTTATTTTGTATAAAATTTAATTTCAGGTTGTCTAGTTGCATTAATTTGGAAATTCCATATCAGTATCCCTCATCGAGCAAAAATTTGTCAGAGACGAAGAATATACCAGTTCATATCTGTACTCTTTGTGATAAAAATCACTTTATGAATATAATTACTTATCCACAACATCAAACGTCGACATTATTTGCTGATTTATCCTTCACATCGTCATCATCCTCATCAATATTCACCTGTTCTAAACGTTTTATTAATATTCTTTGTGATATTGAAGATGAAGATATTAGATGCGATCCTGATCTGGTTCGATTATGTAGCCTTCCAAATGGACTAGTCTATGCTGTTTGGTATACACCTATGAATAAAAAACTTCATTGTTCAGTTGCATTTCCATTGTCATGTTGTAAGCCAATCGTGACTTGGGCTTTTATTCGTAATCCTGCAGCTAATTCTACACTGTCTCGTATAATTGACAATACATTAGCAGATAATCGTTGTACTCAAATCGAAAACAATACTGTGAATGATCTGCTTATTGGTTTAACAAAAGATGGTGAAGGTGTAGGTGTTTGGTTCGATTCATCAGATGTTTGTAACAAAAAGTTAGTTCTTATTTGTTTTTTTCCTAATTCGAGGCGCAATTTTGGCTAGTGCTAGGAGTAGATTGGAAAAATGCTGATAGAGGCTGAACCTAAACGTAAAATTAATCTATGAAATCATTAAATATCGATCTAAACCACGTTAGTAGATCCAGACTATCTGGTTGGGGTCCGCGTATCTATCGTGACCTGTGGTTCATGTTGAGCGATACGGCTCAAAATCGACTACGATGTCACAGTAGCACTCATTGCATTGACCCTTAGATCCTGATTTTCAAAATGATTTTGTGTTTTTTGTTTCGAAAAGTCATTCTCAAATCATAAGTATTATACCTAGACCTTTTTTTTACTGTCAATAGATACTACTACTCTGACATTTATCTTTATTTTATTTTATTGTCCTGATATGTTGTAGCAACTTCAATCGATCCACATTTCTCAAGCTCCGCGTTGCCTATATGAGTGAATAACTGACTTTTTCACTGGTCATGTTTCAATTTTTATCATCGTCATAAGTTTGTTCTTCATATCCTTCTATTTTCCATCAATATTACGTATAAATAAACCGTGGTCATAATCAGTATTCTGAATTCGATTGTCATAATTTATTTAGATTATTAATGTGTACTACTGGGCGGTTTGAACTTGTCATTTAGTAGTGTTTTTTTCTGAAAAGATTTATATCATTTTTAAAGGTAAATTTTGCGGATATACCGACCGTCACAAAGCCACTGTCACAGTATCCAAACAGTACTTGACATTTGTGTTCGTCATGGTTTGGAACTGTTAAACAGTATACATCCAGGGCCGTACACATAGATGATTAATTCCATGAACTTCAAGTTCTTATAAATCTAAGTAACATATAAATAAAATCAATAATTTGGTAAAGTTGTTGATCTCCATTAGCTGTAGCAATTCGTAGCCATTTGCTTCAATGTGGTACACTTAGTCGTGTAAATAGAGAAAAATTTAAATACTGTTAGGACAACGTAAGCCTAATTTTTCCATAATGGGTTTATAACTAGCTTATTTCTCGTTGAAGGCTGTGAACTCTAGGCTCGATAATACAACTGAAACCTCTGGTTTAGAAATATGCGTGAACACTAATCACAATTTGTATAGAATATATGGAATCTGGCTAGCAGTGAAATCCAGAAAGCGCATTTCGTCTTATTTGGAACTCATTAGCTGCATGTACCTTATCTGTCTATTTGAACACAATCATTGATACAAGGGAGGACCAACATATATATGTGCCACAAAGGCGATTATCATTCAGTTTTTGTGTGGACTGTATTACTGTTCGGGTACCCGAACCATCACAGATAATTTTCTGACGAGACCATTCCCCGAGCACTTCAATTATACGTCTAATCCACAAGGTAGTGCAGCAACGTTGGAAGATGCAGTCCAATACTAGCCGGTCACCAATAATATATTCATATTCCATTTGTTCCCTCAGGATTCAGATGCTCATGTGCACCATTGTTTTGAAATCAGAGTTTTTCAACTCATCTAGGTGGACCCTCCGTATCCATTAACCCGGTTTCAGCGTCGGACATTCGATTTTTGTCCTCTCAATTTCGTAAACAATACCCCGTCGCGAGAAGGCTGTGAGTAAAACTCCCTTGGCAATGGCCATATACGTATAATCATGTGAGCATTTCTAGGGAGAGTGCGGACCTTCCTACCCCCAGCCGTACCTACAGTTGATGTTCACCCGGAGACTCAAACCCAGTGTCTTTCTCTTCAAACGCCATTACGTTATCCACTTAGTTACTGGGTCCAAGTAGCTACTCACTTGTGCAACAGGATACGGGTATATTCAACCGATGAGTTCCAAATAGGACAAAACACGCCTCCTGGATCCCGCTGCCATACACACGAACTATTCTATATCAACCTGTGTCATAGTGGCTATTGCCCCCAAATGCCCTGGTACGTCAGAGATTGGGGAGAGTCATTTCTCCCTCTCGAAATGCTCTCACATGGCCACGCGTATATATCCTCTGCCAGGGAAGTCCTACCCACTACCTTCTCGTGACGGGGGTGCTGTTTACGAAATTGAGAGGACGAAAGGCGAACGTCTGGCGCTTTAACCGGGTTGGTGGACACGGAGAGATCTGTGTGGCGCATATGTATTTGGTGCCTCCTTTTACTAATATATATGTGTTAAAATAAAATAAAAAATAAATACGTAGTGGCTATTTCGTGGAAGTCCGCACAAGATGCACATAAGCCAACTAAAACTGATCAACTTTTAGTCAAAAGATATTAATAACGGGATAAGCCAGATCATTTCAAATTGAACTGACCACAATGCCTCCTATACTTTTACTCTCCGTAAATTGTGGAACATTTTTATATCATCCATTACAATGTTGGTAGGCTTCACGTGATCCCTAAAATTCCTCCAATCAATTTTCTTCATATTCTTTTTTTATAATTTAAAACACGGACTGGTTTTCTTCGTCAAACGACCACTAAATGTCTGTTTCATCCTCGTAGTGTAAATTCATAACCTCACCGGGTAAGGTTAGACCACGGAGTTGGTCTCGAGTGGCTTACATCTCTGACTTGAATCAGTTTGCGATATTGTGCATATATCATCCACTACCACTTATGAGTGACTGTCACACGCGAAATGTTTTCCCACCACTAATGACAGCTCTTCACTAAAGCTCCGGTAATTAACCCTAGAAATTAGCCACTGGTTAGAATATGATTGTTATTGGTATTCATATCCCATGAACTAAGTTTTCTACACTTTAACATCGTTCATATTTCCCCAAATGTTTATTTATTTATTTTTTTGATAAATTTAATTTGCTTGCAATACAGAGTTTTAAACGTCACTGAATTCAGTTTACCCCAATCACCTGATCCAATTACAAAATGTCGTGCACAAGGTTCATGGCTCCATGTGATCACTCAAAGTGGACATTTAACGTCAGTACATTTCAGTTTACAATTAAAACAATGTAATGACAATAATAATAGTGAATCAACGAAATGGAATTTGTTATGTCAACCAACTAATTTTCCTCGATTACCTATTCATTTATCACCTGTGAATAATATTGAGCAATGGATAAAATCGTGCCCAAGATGGCGTAATCTTAATGTTTGCGACTTTACTCGTTTGGCTGGTTGGTCGATAAATTTTTATTTGGTTTAATATGTACTTTCTAGATTTCTTCAGTGTTCTTTGTTTTCTGTGTGTGTAAGCACATATAAGTCGTCCAAATTAAAAAAACACAACTTATTTTGTTCATAATTCAGTCAATCATATGTACAACCTTTCACATATGTGCATCAGTTCAAGTTGCCACATAACATTATCTCAATATGATGAATTAATCAAGCAAAATCGCATAGTGGTAGGAGTAGTAACAGTATCAGTAGTAGTAAAACGATTAGCTATAAAAGAGGGAAAATGTACAGGAACGTGTTGAGACTCAGGATCTGACGTAGTACAAAGTGAATTTATCCACACCGTTTCAAATAATTCTAATCGACGTCACTCAATTCTCCCAGTCACTGGTTGTAATTATCGTTAGGATCACAACCAGGTAGTCCTCATCTATATACATAGTCCAGCTCAGTTTTCAATGACTTCATGGACCGATGCTACATTTTCTTTTGATCGTCCCTAACTTTATTTCAACCTATTCCTACACCAGATAACATCTCTCATCGAAAGAGGTGGTGTTTGGCCATACGTTATACAGGTTCTAACCACCTCGGTGGATGAATATTCACTGCCTTATGATTCGGTTTGCCATCTTTACGTCCTAACGTCAGCCGTCCTCACTCGGTGGTCTCAACATACATGTGCAATGCTTCGAAGGCATCTATGATTAAATGCTAACAACCTACGTATATCCTCTGTTCTAATGGGCAATTCTTTACACTCACAAAACAGAAGAGAGCAAACTGCCTTACACTGTACTCGTTTTTAGTTGGCAGATGAACGTCTCTCCCGTACTACAAGTAACGTAAGTTGGTAAGAGCCAATACATTTCACAAGGTAATATTTTCTAGTGTAGGCTCTTTTTCATCGTTTCTCTATAGCTCCAAGATTTTCAAACTTTATACTTTTTGTTATATATGCTCAGATTATTCGTTTTTGATCGTAAATTGATTCGAAGCATCGCCCACATGTGATTGAACTATGAAGTGAGTGGCACTGAGGGCAGGTGTAGGGTACTAGGTAAAGACAATGAATCTGTATGATCTTCACAAAGGCGGTATCTGGGCATGTCCAGTATATTCACTAACCATCATCTACACCATTACGGAATGCTAACTGATTTTGTAGTAGATTGGAACAAAACTATGAGCAACCAAAATATCTCACTCCATACATTCAGTAACTGAAGGTCTAGAAAACCTAGACTGTATTAGACAGGTTAAATATGGAGATCAACGCCGTATTGCATAACTTCAAATCGCTACTGGTCGTAGTTGCTATATGAATATTTTCGTCCAGTCTGCCTGTCGTGACAATCAATCCAGTTTGTATTGTAGGTGGCATTCGTCACGGGTGATGTCATTTGGAGTACCACTAAGAATCAAGGAGCACTAAACGACTGTCTCATCCTAGAACGAAACTTTTCAGCAGTGCATACTTCGACGCACCCGAGGATTGGATCCACAACCTTCAAGTCTCATGCCCAGCCCTTAACCATCAAACCACCGGATTGAGGGAGCCAACGATGCAAATTTCCAGCTCCAATCAATTCACTATATAAAGCGATTAATATCTATTCATAGTCTTTGGCAACGACTGTTCCGCTCCAGATCAGTCCTTCATGAAACCATCTACGATGGCAAGTGAGTAGATTAGAAAAATATAACAAATATCCTTTGTCAAATTGTTCGAGATTTCATATTTTTCCAGGGGTCAAATGGTTAAAGTCCTTAATCCTAGTTTCAAAGTCCATTCTACGTACTCCATTCTAGAGATCCGGTTAGTAACACCTAACCCTCACGTAAAACAGTCAAACATAGTCCACACGATGGTAAATCACTTAGACTAGTAAACATAATACAGCTTGGTGGATAAAGTTTTGAGCTCGAATAGATCAATTATAATCCTTCAGATCATGAAGCTGGGTAGTGCGGATCCAACTCCACAGGGTGTGTCAGTTCCCTTGTGATTGCATGCACATTTTGCTGAAGAATGCCAACTAGTTTGAAGCCTATATCTAAGGGTTTCCCACTTACTACCTTCAACCAAATAACAAAACAATCACTCTCAAAGTCTACTTTTATAAAATATTGAACTTAATTGCCAAATCCCATTAAACCTTTTTTCATTGGTATGTCGTATTTGTATTAATGTTGTTATTATTGTGCCCTCACTGTTTTAATTCTCAGTTTTCTCTATCCATTTTGTCTTTCTCTAAACTAGATGGTCATTTGGGTAGTGTTGATTCACAAGGTTGCAAGACACGTCTAGTTGATCTATTATCATCTAAGTCAGAAATTGATGCTCCTGTTAATTATACAGAACAACAATTGAATCAAACATTCATGAAATTAATCAAGACAAAATATCAAATGAAAAGTTATTTAGCATGTCTACTTCTACTAAACCGTTTGAGTAATTTTAAAGTGAATACAGACAAAAATGATGGGTCTCAGTTCCCTTTAGATTGTAAAATCTATTTGACATCATGTCATGCAGATCGTGAGTCAGGAAACCAATCACCTTTGGAATTGATTGTTGATATCACAGTCCAGGTAAATTGATCTTTGTTAAACATAAATTTGAAATTGGTATTTATGTATTGAAAAGATGTATTTCATACCATTTAACCTACCATAATATAGTTTTCTTTATTCTATCAGATTGAATTAAAAATCAGTGTTAGTTGAATAGCTTTTACTTAATATAACTATGATGTATTTAATTTATTTAATTCATCTTGTTACTGAACTCAACTTTTCTGTGGAAATGAGGCTTCACACCTGCATTGTGTTTTTTTGACTATCTAGTTATCTTCAGTAGGGGGTTGTGGAGATTATTGAGTTTTTGATTGAGATCATGAATCGACCAAGATTAGACCACCATTGAAAACCTGGAAGCACTGGACGACCGTTTCGTCCTAGTATGGGACTCCTTGACAGTGCATCCACGACCCCTCATGCTGGATTCGAACTCATACTGATAATTACCATGTGCTCACTAGTGACTAGCTTGGAGAGGTGATTCTCGGAGTTCTATTGAGAAGCCGTGACCAGTGGAGTGAATCCGTGTCAGGTAGAGACAAGTATCAATCTCGGACAATGGAAGTTGGTTGCGCAATTTCGTGAATTATTTGCAGTTAAACAATAACACCGTTGGGTGCCGGCTCAGTGGTCTAGAGGTTAAGCGTCTGTGCATGATGCCGAATGTCCTGGCTTCGGGTCACGCGAGCGGGATCGTGGATGTGCACCCCCGAGGAGTCTCACACTAGAATGAAATGGGCATCCTGTGCTTCCAGATGGTCTAATTTTGATCGATTCATGATCTCAATCAAAATATCTAGTTATTCCTTGGTCAGTTATATTTAATTCAACTCTTCCCGAATGAATACACATATTTAGGGGGAGCGACCTAATATATTCCAATAAGCTGAAACAACAAAATATACCGTAGTTGTTAGAGTGTCCATAACATCCATTTTCAAAGTTTCCAGTAGCTTAGGAAACGCCAAGAAATGTTTTATCCATCCAACATTAGATAAAAACACATCAAAAACATTCAAGAAAATGAAGGATCACTTGTCACGTTTTTGATTGGATAGATACTTATACCACTACTATATTTAGTATATTATAAAAATCTAGACTCACACAACTATAATTACACTCGATTTTCTGTACATGAACTAGCTTTGAAGTCATGTTCTTACATTTCTCCCGTTTTCTTTGTTGTTCGGGTTGAAGTGTGGATGTAGTTGAGGGTTATAAGAAGCAGTTAAGTAGGTAGTACTAGGCTTTTCAGTAGCAGACTTATCTGTATTAAAAACCTCCGAGTGTAGATGTCGATTTTACTTATCAATCTTCTAGCATCTTATTGATCTACTCATCAACCATGACTAGTTGAATATGAGTCAGTCATCGTGTTCCGTTCAGAGTATGGAATGATCACTGACAAATAAACTATTTACCTTATTGCTATAAAAATAAAATAACACTTATTAGGAGAGCAGAATTATGACACCTTGAAAGAAATCATTTAAGTCACATTGTACATTTTGAATTGTGTTACTTACTTACTTGCTCCTGTTACTCCCAACAGAGCATAGGCCGCCGACCACCATTTTCCAACCCGCTCTGTCCTGGGCCTTCTTTTCTAGTTCCATCCAATTTTTGTTCATTTTTTCATGTCTATTTCCATTTCCCGGCGTAATGTGTTCTTTGGTCTTCCTCTTTTCCTTTGGCCTTGAGGATTCCATGTGAGGGCTTGCCTTGTGATGCAGTTGGGTGCTTTCCTCAGTGTGTGTCCTATCCACTTCTAGCGCTTCTTCTTGATTTCTTCCTCTGCTGGGATCTGGTTTGTTCTCTCCCACAGTACTTTGTTGCTAATAGTGTCCGGCCAACGGATCTGAAGTATTTTGCGTAGACAACTGTATTTTCTGGATGATTGCTTTCGTAGTTCTCCAGGTTTCCGCCCCATACAGTAGAATTGTCTTGACATTTGTATTGAAAATCCTGACTTTGGTGTTGGTTGACAGTTGCTTTGAGTTCCAGACGTTCCTCAGTTGTAAATATACTGCTCTTGCTTTACCGATCCGCGCCTTCCCATCTGCATCAGATCCACCATGTTCATCAATGATACTGCCCAGATATGTAAAGGTTTTTACATCTTTCAAATCTTCTCCGTCAATTGTGATTGGATTGGTGCATGTTGTGTTGTATCGGAGAACCTTGCTCTTCCCTTTGTGTATATTGAGACCTGTTGCTGCTGCGAAACTAGTCAGATCATCAGCGAAGTCTAGATCGTCCAACTGCATCCTAGATGTCCATTGTATCCCGTGCTTCCCTTCAGATGTGGATGTCTTCATGATCTAGTCGATCATCAGGAGAAAGAGAAAGGGTGAGAGTTAACAACCTTGCCTGACACTGGTCTTCACTTCGAGCGAGTCCGTAAATTGTCCTCCATGCACGATTTTGTAGTTTAATCCATCATAGGAATTCCGTATGATATTGACTATCTTCTAAGGCACGCCGTAGTGTCGAAGAAGCTTCCATAGTGTTGTCCTGTCCACTCTGTCAAATGCTTGTTGATGTAGAGTGATGAATTCCATTCCATTGATTGTTCTACAATGATCTGTAGAGCTACGATTTGGTCTGTATACGATCTATCCTTACGGAATCCTGCCTACTGGTCACGAAGTTGGGCGTCTACGCAGTCCTTCATTCTGTTTAACAATACTCTGTTGAAGATTTTCCCTGGCATTGAGAGAAGAGTGATGTCCCTGTGGTTAACACAGTAGCTGAGATCGCCTTTCATCGTTATTTTGATCAAAAGTCCTTCTTCCCAGTCTGTTGGCACTTGTTCCTCATTCCAAATCTTATTGAAGAGGATGTGGAGTATCCTTGCAGTTGCCGCTACGTCTGCTTTTAGTGCCTCTGCTGGAATGTTGTCTGGTTCTGCTGCTTTGCCACTCTTGATTTTTCTGATGGCCATGCTTATCTTTTCAATTGTTGATGGGCCAACATTGATTGGGAGGTCCGTGGGTGCTGCTTCGATGTTGGGTGCGTTCAGTGGAGCTGGTCGATTCAAGAGTTCTTTGAAGTGTTCTACCCACCTGTTTGATTGCTCTTCAATGTTGATAATTACCTCGCCTTCCTTGCTTTTGACTGGTCGTTCAGGTTTGCGGCGATTTTCAGCGAGTTTCTTTGTCGTGTTATACAGTTTTCTCATGTTTCCTTCGCTTGCAGCCTTTTCCGCCGTCGTTGCTAAATCTTCCACATATTTACGTTTGTCGGTTCTCATGCTCCTCTTCACTTGTTTGTTTACTTCTGTGTATTCAGCTTGTGCCTTGGCTTTTTCTGCTCTTGTTCGACTGGTATTGATTGCTACTTTCTTGTTTCTCTTTTCTTGAATCTTATTCAGTGTATCAACAGTGATCCATTCCTTGTGATGGTGCTTCTTGTGACCCAGGACCTCATGACATGTTGAAGTGATTGCCTCTTTGACCCCCTTCCAGTTACTCTTCATAGTAGTTCCTTCTCCATTGAGTAGATAATGAAAGGCCTGGAACGTATTGCTGAGGTCTATCTTGAATTTGTTGAGTTTGTTAGTATCCTGAAGAAAGGCCGTATTGAACTTTTGTGATATTGTCCGTCCCGTTGTCCAGTGTTTCTTGAGTTTCAATTTCATCTTGGCGACCAGAAAGTGATGATCTGAGGCAATATCAGCTCCTCTCTTGGTTCTCACGTCCTCTATAGTCCTCCTGAACGTTTTGTTGATGCAAATATGGTCGATTTGAATTGTGTAGTGTAGTTAAAAAAAGCAACGAAATATAATGTAGGGTTTCATTATATTTTGCGTATACCCTGTCATTCTCACCTTTTTCAGATATATGGAAAGAAGTGATAGTATGGAATTCTTATTATTACTATTGTTATTATTATTATTATTATTATTATTATTATTATTATTATTATTAATATTACCATTACTATTATTTACCTTCTTCGTATGAATACTCTTCCTTCTTATTAATTCTTATTCAAAGAATACAAAAACTGATGACAATCTAGGAGAGAATATTAATGAATTATTATTTCATTCCGATTTAAACAAAATTAGTCTAAATAATCTGGCACAAATTATATTATTCAAATCGTACATGAATAATACAAAGAATTATATCATATCTGATTATCTTGAGAAATATTTGTACATTGTTATCAAAATGGAAGCTGTTAAAGCAGACTGTGAATCGTCATCGTTATCATCATCACCATCATCATCGAATATGAAGGATTTAATCACAGATACCGATAAGAACGTGGTCAACAATCATCATTCACTTGTTTACACGTATAGAGAATTGTGGTTTTCATCACCGATAAATGTCAATAGTGATAATTCGAAGTGAGTGAATTGTGTTATAAAATGTATTGTCAGTGTTAGTATAGCGAAGGTTTGTGAAGAACGTTAAATCCATATTTTATTTACATCTTTAAGTAATTACACTATAACTCAAAAAAAACATTTGAAAACAGTGCATATCAATGACCTCCCTAAAGATCAAGACCTTCAGATCTCGTTGCGTACGTCTAACTTGACCATTTAGTTGGAACACTTCTGGGGAGTTCTGTTGTAGGAAGAAATACTATCCAGTTCTTTGTGGCTTTTCATGTGGTGAGGCTTTTGTTGGTGAACGACCTTTGAGCAATGCCGAAATTGACCTTGAGAAAGTTTACCTATCTACTAAGGTGTAAAGAAGGTCTGAAAAACTAAAATCGAAATTTACAGTTGAAAGTCAGGGTTAGGAATTATAATTAAGGTTTTCATCACGAACTGTCATCGACTATAATGCCAAAATGGTATTAAGCTGTATAGAGAAATAAATTTTACGCCAAAATACAAGAATTGTTATCTTAAATCTGATTGCTTTGTTCATAAATTAAGGTGTTACCTTCCATGTTTATGTAGCTAAAATTCTGCCTGTAGTGTAAACCACATGCTAGAAATATGTATGAAGTATAATGACTATCTCATTTTGTTAGCTTCTTATATTGCACTGGTGTAAAGTGTGATAGCTCTTCTCCCAATATTACTTTTTTGTGTTATAATGCTTGGTTTTTCCGCCTACACAAATGGAATGCTAATTTGCCTTAGACGAACATCTACACTAGACACCCTCCCAGTATATATTCTGCAAGACCTCAACCCAACTCACATCGAGAACATGTAACTAGCCGGACTAGGACGTAAATATATTTCCACATGAAAACCGACAACAATCACAATAATAATAGGGGTAGGAGCATATTTAACTCATACCTGTCAAACAATGACTATCATCCTCTCCCACACATCACTGTGCCAAGTTCTACATCGTTCATAGACATATGTTGATTGATTGACTGACTATTCGTAAAATTTAAAATCCCATGCTATCTGTTTATCAACCTATAATAGAGAAAAAGTTTTACTAATAAGTTATTTCTTAATTTCGATAAATTTCTCCAGAAAGCATATTAAAACCAATAAATAAAGACCTTCTTAACCGTGGTTGATAGAAATGAACAACACAGCTTGGAAGAATTTCGGTGAAAAGGTAATATCAACACTTAAGGAAAATATACTGCAAGTAGTTTTTGGAAATCAGATGATCTTCAAAATCAATTGTAGTTTACTGAAGTTCCGGTGGCTTTGTTATTTGTACTGTTTAGTATGGCTATTATGTATGACAATTCAGTAGTATTATGTATTGGTGATTAATATTGCCGTATTTATAGAGCAAGGAGAAAACTTTCTTTCATTAAAGTAAATATTTGACCTTAAAATTCGTCTAATTTTTGCGATATGTTGCTCACTATCTCTGACAATGCTTCCCTAAAATGTATAGAGGTATATTTGTAAAGAATTGGAACTAAGGAGTCAAAGACCAATATATATATCCAAATAAATTAGGTGACTACTTTTCTTTATCTCTCTAACCCCTTAGTCGAATAGTCTTCCGTTAAATACACATACGTACAACGTTTGTGAGTATATTGTAGCTGTTTTGTTGTAACCTTCCTACGTATATTTTTACTTTGTTCTGGTTTTATACATTATCATACTTAAAAGTAGTATACATATTCATTTACCAAATACACCATTTTTTACTGAGCTTTGATTCACACATTGTGTCGAGCGCTAGTACAGACAATGCCGGATTAATAAAGTAGTTGGAATGGGATTCGACTCTGTGACCTGTTGGTTGAAAGTCAAGCACTTACGTCGATAAGCCCCTATCTAATGTCTACAGATGGATAGTTATTTAAAGTGTGTTCCACACTTCCCAACATTCCCAATTGATACAACTTCACTAACTCATTTTATGATTTCTGCAGTATTTCAACATAGCTCATCCAAAGATTTAGCCACATGAATCACGTTACGCAATAGTCTATTAATCAAAGTAATAGTTATCGCCTCAGATGTTTTCGGTCTATGGTTCTTAATGATATGCTTTCATATTCAACCTAACGTTAACAAATATTAGTTTTTTTACTCAGAAACGAAGTACATATTCGTTTACTTGAATTCGAACAACTCTGAGTGTAAGCGTTTGTAGTACTACCTATTTATTCAGATGGAAATAGGTAGAGCGGGACTTAAACCTGCTACTTAGTGTCTAAAGATTGAACGCTTTAAAACCACTGAACCACTAGTAATGCTAATTAGCACATATCACCAAACAGTATTTTAAATTTTGAGGGAACTGATGCTTCTTGTACTATTCAAATTCTCAATCTACGGTACTACGTTTGATCTATAAGACTGAGATGTATTTACGATTGATTGATTAATGACCAATATCATCTTTGCTTATTCCTTAATGCTGATTTAATTCTATTGACCAATAAGACATAGACATACATGACATGGGTAACTACTCAATGATCACTCAATATATATATATATATATATATATATATATATATATATATATATATATATGTATATATATATATCCATTAGAATACCACTGTAATAATTAATACTTTTCTTCTCAAAAACTGTGAAGATTACGACGTTGTATCATTCCATCAACAAATTGGTTACAAATATTTCATATAACTGAATTGAATAATTCTTCAATTTTTCAACAAAATCTATTGCCTACTACTACTACTACTACTACTAATACAAACAGAATATTCTCAATTGACGATAGTACACTTCAAGTAAATATTCAATTAGAATTTCAACCACCAATAATACCACAATATTTAAATTGTTTCAATCAAAACTTATTTGAAAATGTAAAAAAATTGAATTATTCACCAATTTTTGTAAACATTGGTCATTGTTACCTTGATTGTATACATTTTCTAAATCAAATAAAAACAAATTCATTATTGAATAATGTTAATGTAAATGATAATCCAATGAAGTTAATTCATACAATGCATATTAATATTAATGAATCAGTATTTCAATCCATTATATCAGGTAGATTATTGTAGTTTTCTTTTGTAAAACATTGGCTAATTTGATAGTTGTTTTTATTTTCTTTCTCTTTAAATGATGAATTAATTTAAGCTAGACTATCTCTAAAGGAAGATTACTAACATCCAATAACTGGACCATATTAATAATGGTTAAGGTTTGTTAATGTATGGTTTAAGCACGGTGACAGTACTTCCACAAGTGATTGTTTTCATTGCCTGGATATTATGCTATGAATGTGTTGGGGACGTTAGATCCCCAGAAATCACTTGCGAAAGGACCTAATTTTGTAATTTTATTTCGAAAGTTTGAAGTTCTTTGTTTTCACGCCAAAGGCGCTCCTGTCACCTACATGTCGTATTTCCCACTTGGAAATATCTTAAATGCTATTGGTCCGTTGCGTCTTTTAGTATGCTATTTGGTAACTCTCCCCAAGGACGGTTTTGCACTGTATATATACGTTTTGAATTGTGTTTGTTGTTATCGCTCGTTTCTGGCTGTTTTGCAGAATATACTTCTCATTCCGAGCTTGGACTTCTCCCTCTAGTTAGTGAGGCTAGGACACATCAATGGCTAGCTTACTGGTCTTTGGTCACCGAGTCTTGTTCTCGTTCGCCGATCAAGTGAACGCGTGATAGCTTCAAACTTGGTCAGTTTATGACATTAGTGAGGTATAAAAGAAAGCTGTATAAGTCTGGTATCTATTTGTCCCTAGTTCGAATCCGGAAGATGGTACAATTCAGTGGCTTAAGATATCATTGGACATAAGTCAGAATAGAAATCAGTGGTACACTTGCTATAGGTTTCTTTTACACTTTATAAAAGTAAGACGAACTTCCTTTCTTGGTTGTAATTTAACTGAGTCGTATGCATTATGACAATAATTTTGTCCACTAATTTTGTGATTGTACACTCTCCTCTTTCCCCTCTATGTCATCGCAATTTCATCTCTTTATTTTTGTATCGGTCATACTTATTTTGATGCTCAGTTATATCAGACTTTGTGTGTTAAACCAATAATAAATAAATAAGAATGTCAGAAAGGGGTTTTGCAGAGATTTTAGTAATTTAATAGTTGAGTTCATGAGTCAATTAAAGCTAGACCATCATGGATGTTACTAAGAATCAAAATGTACCACTGGATAACTTGTTTATTCATGTAGTTTGGATCTCTTCAATGGTCCACATTCCCATAGGTTCGAATCGTGGACCTTATGGCGACCACGATAAATTTAGGCCTCAATGAGTAACGGTTAAACTGTTAACATTTCCAGTTTTATATAATTTGTGGTATACCGCGGTCACCGGCTTTTTTGTCATGATGATGTATCCGTATCACTTCTGACATAGTTAGATTCTAATCTACTTGCTCTTTCTCATTAACATATCAGAAGTCAAAACTGTGTTCTATCTTTTTCAGTTCAATTAGTCAGCTCTTGTTTTAATCTGCTTTGATGTAATACTTGTAACTTGTAAGTTGAGTATATGAATCCATATCTGCTACTGGAATGCATCACCAAAAATTTAATGTTTTCATCAAAAATTGACATAATTTGAAGGCAGAAAATAGGAGTAAATAGAAAACTATTTTGTAGTTTACATCACGAACTAATTATGACTCTAAAATAGTCAAGAAGCACTGGAAGGCTGTTTTTCCGTGATGTGAGATTTCAGAATTACTCCAGCCTGTTAATTCGAAGGTCAGGCGCTTTCCACGAAGTCTGAAGGTTCTGAACTCATCCGTGGCGTAAGCCGTAAATACTCACTGCTGAAATATTTCATACCAGAACAAATCAACTGTCCACTTCTTCATCCGTTCAAAGATTATCTAGCTATAGTTATTCCCTGAGGTAAACTGTAGAATCCGATAATAAGAAAACCATTGTTGAACTTCTGAATCTTATTTTTTTTTTACATAGTTTACACATTTCTTGCAAAATCTGGCATACACTACTCTAATTTCTCAATATTTTTGATTTACATCACTCACTTGATATTCAATTGTTTATCATTTTGTTTTTCAACTGTTTAGTAATGACATTTACCTAAGACACTTATTAGCTACAATTGTTTGATCACCAGTTAGTGCGTGAATAAAATTATGTTTTTTCTAGTCCTTTAAGTTTTAAACGAATTAGATTGATGAAGTTGCGATGTGACCAAACTATGAAATTGGATAATGTGGATTTTAATCCCATAGGAATTGTCAGTTCCCTTAAAATGACAGATTACCCCTTGTTGACAATTACCAACCAGCATAAAACTGAGAATTTCTTGCCAACTACCTTGCAAATTATCTAACACACTTATAGGTTTTTTTTAATCATTTTTCTACCAGTAGTAACCACCTACATTCTGATGAATTTTCTTTTATTCAATTCAATCAAAAGTAGCGAACTATTTGTTGATATTTATCTGCACATTTTTTTCCCCATCTATTTCCTTCTTTCTACAGATATTTTCAAAAATTCCATATCATGTTCAAGTAATCATCATGAGAATTTCCTTAAATTAATAGTAAAAAATAATCATAGTAATAATAGTCAATTATTTTATTATTGTTTAACAAATCAATCTGTCAAATGTGAATGGTCTTTAAATTTAGATCCATTTAATTTTAAACAAGAGAACAAGAAAGAAGAAGAGATAAATAATATAGACAACAACAATTACAATTCCAATATCTGGTGTTTTACAATATCATCTGTTTGTTTACAAACATTATGGTCTATTTATAGAGCTATTGAGTTACGTCAGAAAATATCATTACAGAAGGTAGATCTTGTTATCTTATAACAACTAGTAATTAATCTATTGTTGTTTTTACTTGCAGATTTTATTGTTTGATTTAATTCCACACTGAAATGTTATAAGATGGTCAGCAAGAAACTCTACTTGAATTACATTTCTTGATAATTGCCATTGTTGGTAAAGCAAACCTACATTCTTGCAAAGCACTGGTATTTTCTATGGGATTTAAAGCAGGATCACCAAACTTCACATTTTGAGACGTTATCAATAAATGTACTTCCGCAAATGCTACGGTACGGTCGAGAACGGGGAGAGTCTGCTCTCCCTCTAGAAATGCTCTTACATGGGCACGCGTATACAGTTACTGCCAGGGTAGTCCTACTGATTGCCTTATCGCAACGGGGGTATTGTTTATGAAATTGCGAAGACGAAAGGCGAATGTCCCACTCTTTAACCGGGTTAGTGTATACGGAGGATCCACCTAGGAGAGTTGGAAAACCCTGACTTCAAACCAATAGTGCATATGGACTCCATAATCCTGAAAGAACAAATGGCGTATTAACCTTTTGTTTGTTACCGGCTACCATGAGATTGCATTTCCTAACGTTGCCACACCGCCTTGTTGATTAGACATATAGGTCAAAAGTTCGAGGAGTGACTATCTGAGAAAACCACCTGTTTTGGTATGGGCTCCCGGGCAGTATTCCAGCCCTCACACAAATTGAATGATTTCAACTTGATTGATAGATTTCGAACACTATTAAGAAATAGAAAAGCATAGTATATTGCTCGCTACTCGCTACTTTTAACTATGATGTAGTTTGACTGTTTTTTTTTTCTAAAACCTTATAACTATTGATCGATTATTTAAGAAACTTTTAAATTATCTCTGTTTTCCTGTGCCATGGTTTTATTTTTCTTCGCTTAGAATAATTCGATAGAAACTTTCAAACGTCCTACTGTTGAACAGCTTAGACTAGAATGTTCTATCTTAAAGGTAATTGTTGCTCATCGATGATGATATTTATCTTTTTTGTCGTTTAGACATCATTTATTCCACTAGATACTACTTATTGTTTTGAATGAGTAGTCTATAACAACAATAATACTTACTTTATTCAATACCATATGTTTGATTACAATAAAAAAAATCAAAACAGCATCAAATATGCGGAATTGCATCAAAATCCCAACTTTCAAAGCACTGAATTTGTCAAGGTTAAAAAAAGATATCAAAAAATGATTACCAGCTGCGATTCATATTAATCTGTGAATATTTACAGTCAGTCTTGATCCAATGATAAGTCTTTCTATTGCCGAATATGCGGAATCACCATGATGGTACTTCTTAATTTTCGCAGTAATTAGATTTCTGATAGGTTGTTAACATTTCATGAAAGTATGTAATTACACGCAGTTAATGGACATAAACCTGAAATAGGAATATCTTTGTTGTAAATACATATTTTGAAAATTGAAGACCCAGATGTTCGAGCAGGTCATTCGTATCTGATATAATATTTAATTATCTAAATACAACTCATTTACTGAGTTCCTTTAGGTCTAAGTAATTGTTACTCCAAGACTATATGGTCTGCCTAAAATGCACAGAAACGGCCTGATTCTATGGCTAGTTTTAGATATGAGTAATTCATTTACGAAGTGCTACTGGTAAGTCACGCTTATTCGTGTCTATAAAGGCTATTGATGCTACTTAACAGAAATAAATAAATCGGTTTTTCAAACCTGAAACAATGAAAAGAACTTACGGCTTAGGATAATTATACTTCTGTTCAAATTATTATGCTAAATCGATACAATAATTCAGTAAGTCGATTTGAGTATTTGATCATAGGTATCTTGGAAGCATCGCCAGTGAAACTTTGAACTACGGAGTAACCAATGCTAGGGTTAAGAATATTAAGGTACTAGGTAAATATGTCCAATGGATTAATGAGGTAGTAAATTTTCATCAACCAATGTGGTTGGGACATGTGTTACTTCTTCTGAGTCACCAGCTACCTTAAATAAGGATTTTGCTTGGTGTAGGAATAGGTTAGAAGAAAGTTAAGGTTGGCCAAACTAAGACGAGTAACCAGTTTATGAAGTTAAGGACTATTGTACTAAGCCATGTAGGTAAGTGAAAACTACTTTTTCATAAACAATAGTTAGAGACTCTGATTAACATGGCTTCGTTTGCAATGACGCAGTCACACCCACTCCCTGTCCTCGCTCTGATCCTGAGTTTCTGAATTTCTCATAAATTTTTTTGATTTCACTGATTTATACTTTCTTGAATCATATCTTCGACACTTAATCCTTCCTATTACCATTAATACAGTCAATACCTGTGCTACTCCGGTATTTGTCCTGACAGTTTCACCTCACTGCGCTATTGGGGTATACCAACTTGAACTGATGTGTGTATACACGTACCAGGTTCTACGTTGCGTTTGACTACCTGATATCAAGACTAGTATGAAAAACGTCAAAAGTGTAAATTGGTGAAATAAAACGAATACAATAGAATTAAAAATAACTGTTGTAAGTATTAAGAAGTTACAAGTACAATAATAAATAGTTAGAATGTAATTAGTTTATATAAATACTGGAAAATGTACAATAAAGAAAAAACACAACACGATATTCTTTCAAAATTTATTAGATCCGAAGTGGTTACTTAATATTATTAAGTAGTATGATTGATATGCTAACAAGTTGAAAAGTTAGGTATAGAAAATGCAAACTTCTAAATCATTTTTATTCACGAAAGTAATACACATCAATGCACCCCACTACCTTTTCTCTTTATTTAGAAATTACTAACTTCCCTACACGATATTCGAGAAAGAATTGGTAATAAGGATAATAATAACATCAACGATAACTACTTAACAGAGAATTTATTATCGGAACCAAAGTGTATGCTGAATTTTCTTTTAGACTCTTATTGTGTCATTCGAAAAACAGCAATGTCATCATGTTTATTTTATCAATGATGATGACTGTGTATATTATGTTGTATATATTTATCTAATCAAAATAAATATCTATCATTTGTACACGTCTTTTCAGAATTGGTATTGTTCGATTTGTATTTATGACCAATGAATGATTAAGTGAATTATGAAACAGAATGAGAAAGGTTAATTGTATAGTAACCATTATTAGAGCTGTATGTGTGGAGTTGGATATTCCTCGGACGCCTAAACCGAAGCCAGTGGATTTTTGGGAGGCTACCCACCGAACGTTCAATCCAGAGGTCTAGTCCACAAGTCAGAGCATCAAAGACAGAGGATGCCGCCCTGTGGTAGCGGATAACGGAAATAAGCTCGTACTCCTTTGGTTCTTTGAGGATCACAGAGCCCATGTGCACCATTCGTTTGAAGCTAGGGATTTCTACCTCACCCTCCATATCGACCCTTCGTATCTATCAACCTGGTTTGTTTGCTAACTCTCACTTTTTGTTTTCTTACTTCCTTAAAGAACATTCGAATGCGTGAAGTCAATGGGTAAAACTTCCCTGTCAGAAATTATAAATGCATGGGCGTTGGACAGCATTTGTAAAAGGGTAGTGAGTTCTCTTCGCTCTCTGCCATACGAATAGATTTAGGGATCATTCATTAGTCTAGCCTGTTTACGGAGTATATATCAGTCAGTCAGTCAGCTACAACGTAGGACCAGGCACATATGTGCATCGGTCCAGGTTGCCATACCGCATCAGCACAACAAGATGAACACCGGATTCATAACAGTGGTTAGGTAAAAGGTGGTAATATATAAGAGAAAGATTGCATATAGAGATATAGTACAAGAAGAAAGAATTGGTTCGTAGAAAGAAAGATATGAAGCGATTTTAATCTCTTAGTTTAAGGGAAGACAGGGAGTGTATACACCGACGCCATTGTGATCGATTCTGAGCCATGTCACCAAGAGTCTCCAACCATTGGTTACGATAGTCACGCGGACCCCAACCAAGTAGTCTGCATCTACCAACTTGGCTCAGACTAGAAGTTAGTGACTTCAAGCACTGATGCCACGTTTTGGTTTGGCCGCCCCTAACTTTCTTCCAACCATTTCCAATACCGGATAGCATTGCACGTCGTGGTAATCGGTGTTCGGGCATACGTAACACGTGGCCCAACCATCTCAGTCGATGAAGATTCATAACCTCATCAACTGATTTACCATCATTTCCTAATTCCCTGCGTCTAACCTCACTATTACTTACCCGGTGATCCCAGCAGACGCCAGCAATATTTCTAAGGCATCTGTGGTCAAATACTAATAGCTTACGAATGTCTTCTACTCTTAGTGGCCATGTTTCGCTGCCGTAAATTAAAACAGAACGGACTGCCGCGCAGACGGAGTATATATATTTGGCTTTAAACCACATTGTATCAAAGCTACCTAACTTTTCAAATTGTATTAGGTGGGGCAGGATTTGAACATGTAGGTTATCGGTTTAAAAATCAATTTAAATTCTAAGTTCCATCATATCGTCTGCATTACTGACAACAATGTCTTAATAATTAAATCATTCATTTTCCAACTAGTAGTTATAGGTCATCAGTTTAAATCACATTCTTTCTACTTCAGTTCAAACAGCCAAGGTATTATCACCTGATTCTGTTATGATTGTGTAACTCAAGATTAGATGACGAAAAATTACACTTGATATATGATTCACATTGAGATGAATTAAATTGTTACTTTATTTAATAGAATGTTAGCCAATTAAACAAGTTGATATGGGTGAACAAATGAATAATCTATATTCAATGTTAGTTCTAGCATTTATCAATTTATTACATTAATTACACTACAAAAAAAAATAGCCGTCTATTTATTCTAATCAAAATTTTGATTATACAAAAGAAATACTGTTTTATGAATTGACTGTAATGCTTCGTTTCTTTTGAAAATTACTATGAACATTGTGCGCATGTTGCTACAATTGATCAGTGTGTTATATCATACTACATCAATTAAGATGATTGAGTTTTTGTTGACTTGTGATTTTGCTAATTAAATTAGTTTTATAAACGTTTCTTATCAATAAAAGTATTCAGAAAGAAGTACAATATTGTTTATACCGGAGATCTGCTATCATACAATGAAGTTATTAACTATTGTCGTATCCATTATCTATAGCAAATTTAATTGTTCTTATTATATGGTTTTAAAGAAACTAGCAATTGTGATTATAGGGTTGTGAAGATTGTTGAGTTTCATGGAAATCATGGACCGATCAATATTAGACCGCTAATGAAAACCTGCAAGCTGTGAATGGTCGTTTCGTCTTAATATGATACTACTTGACGGTGCGAACCCGCGCACGTTAACCGAACCCAAGGCCATGGATTAAACATTAAAACATCTAGCTTCCGGTTCATTGGTCTAGAAGCTAAGTGTGAGAGGTCTCAGGCGCGCACTACTGAGGGGTCCAATACTAGGACGAAAAAACTATTCAGTGCTTCCAAGTTTTCAATGGTGGCCTACCACCGACTGGTTCATAATTTCAATGAATTTGATCATATAATACCAGTGTTTGATCGATGTTAGACCACCATTGAAGTCCTGAAAGCACTGGATAGCCGTTTCGTTTTATTGTTGGACCCCCCATCAGTGCTCATCCACGATTCCTCCTCGCAAGATTCGAACCCAGGACCTAACATGTTGATTACAAAATCAAAAATCATTAAATTTTGACAAAATATTTAGAAGTAATTTTACTTTTCAACTAGTCAGTCATGAGAAGAAATCGTAGAATTTTCTTAAAGTTTTATTATCATATTACTTATAGTTATTGCTTAATATGAAAAAAGTAATTACTCCTCAGTAAGTTATTGTATTTAATGGGTATTTTAAATTTTCTACTGTTTGACATACGAAAAAATTCTCGTAGACACTTTATTAACTGGCTTTTAGATGAGATGCAATACATACTAATCAAGTGAAGTTTGTTGGGTATTGCTCATTTGGTTATCTCCAGTTCATATGTAAATACATTTGACGGTTAGGACTTATGACCTTCTCAATTATCATGTGACGAAATCGCCGACCTATATGACTTTGTCTCTGTGCTAAACCAATGGTGTGTTGACCACCAGCAGCAACTTTGATTCAACTTTGAGTCCTTATTGGTCATCTGTATAGTAGCTTCCTGCTTAATCCAGTTCGCTAGATATAAACCATTCCCGAAACTGACTGAACTATGTACCAGACCCACTAATTATACACTTAATTTGGTATATTAAAAAGTATTTTTTTCGTTTTGAAGATGATATTTTCCAGTATTAATCATCAATAGACTAAATAGCAATTAATAACTTTGCTTATATTAAGTGTAAAATCCTCAGAAAAATCAAGCTGTTAATCGTTCAATTTCGTGATTTGGTATACAAAACGGATGTATTGATTCAACAATTCAACTTCAGTTCCAAAATTCATTCAGTAAAAAAGTGTTAGTAAGTGGAAAGGATACTACCGAAGGACTTTGATATTTTGACCCATTTTAGCTACTCGGAAAGCAGCATGTAAATGGATTATACTCCATAATTAAAAAAAAAACTAAGGAGAATATATTATTTATGGGCGATGAATAAATCTTTACAATTCGACTATGGGTCCCTAAATATTGGAGTTTAAGAATTGGATTGTGGTTCAGTATTAAAAATAGAAGTTAGTTTATGCCATAACTTCTAATCTTAGCCATAAACCCTACTCCTGAACGTATCTAATTCGAGTCCTAACCACTAACACAAATCTTTACTCTAATCCTGACCCTAGAAAATATTGCACTAAAAAATCACTCTATTTCGTGTTTCTGTGCACCCATGCACCGTCATTTTATTTTCGCATTCACATATGAGTATCTTGTTCAGCAATTCAACATCTTGTAAATACCTAATGATCTTTTCTTTACAAACATTGGTCACTATACCGTCCACTGTTAACAATCTGATTTTATATAGCTCGATAAACTTGATTCTATGCTGATATATGCTGATATATATATATATATATATATATATATATATATATATATATATATATATATATATATATATATATATATATATATAATTCAAGGGTAGCTGGGTTGGAATTTTCCAATCGATTTATCATTCTAGACAGACTTATTATTTGCCTGTCTTACTATACACATATGAATATAAATTTATAACAGACATTAATATGATACACATTAAACAGATTAAATAGACAGATAGCACTATATATTTCTTTTGTTTCTTTTTCTCTTTTTAAAAGAATGATCCATTAAACTGTTACAAAATTCAATAAGTTTGCTTCTAATTTGTAAATTGAATTCTGTTTGTTTGAATAGAAATGGTACTAGGCAAATTTCGTTTAATTTAGTTACATTAATCATTGAAATTTAGTAATATATTCATGAGAATCTATGGGTTTTTTTTCGGCTTTTCACAATTTGATTCTCATAAGATTTGAATAATTTGACATAGAAACTAACTGAAAGATTAATCGATAAAATTAAAACACCGGTAAATAGTAAATCTGTGTTCTATAAGCTCTGTCAACTATTTTCTCATCTTATTCATGGTTATATAATAAAATATACCTTTGTGGGTTAGGGTAATTTTACATTGATTTTCAGAAGAACCAGATATCATCCAGACTTTCGTGTGACAATCTAAATAGCACAGCTCAATCCCGCTTTACAGGTGAACTAGACACCATATAGGCTTAAATGCTACAATCTGAATAGTACAGCTCTATCCAACTTGCAGGAAAACCAGATATTATCCAGGTTTAAACTTTATAACTTGAACCGTACAGCTCAATCCCACTTCACAGGAGAACCAGACACTATGTAGGCCTAAACGCGACAACCTGATTAGTATAGTTCAATCCTGTGGCGCAACCACATAGGTACCAAGCACCTTGCTGGACGGTCTCATCTTGTTCACTGATTCATATTTTCAAATTATTTTATAAACTGTATCTACAATGATCATAAATTCTCTAGAAAGATTTAATATTTCCTCTTTATTGATAGTTTTCTA